TTCCACCATTGCACACGAAGTAAACCTCTCGTTTGAGGGTCTATACAGACGCTGGAGTTCATCAGGACCTCTTAAAGCAATTCTGCTTTCACCTGAAAACAAAACATTCTTCCATTCCTGCATTGACCAGTTAGCATGATCACGCGCGAAACGTAACCTGGCTGTTCTGTGCGATCTGAGGAGTTCTGGAGCGCGGGCTGGACGTAAAGCTATCAGATATTCCTCAACCAACCGTCTTACTGTTCTTTCATTTACACTAATATTTTTGACTTCAAACAGACGGTTTCCTCAGCTGCTGTATGAAAGCGATCTCGTAACATTACTGACAATAAAACAATCGTCCGGAGCTGACGTGCATCGATGTCGCCCTTGAACGGGTCTCCGTGTGTAACGACCAGTCTCCCGATACCGCCGGATAGCGTCTCGAACGCTCGTCTTGTACGCGGTACACCATGTGTTGGCTGTACCCCTCATCAGTTAAAGCTACAGCTCTAGCAACTCCAGCAGCATCCAAAGGCAGTTTTTAAGCACAACACACTAAAATTTTCCTTGAGAAGTTGACTTCAGCAATTTTAATTGATAAGGATAACAATTTCATTAATTTTAAGTCTCCAATATACCGATTCCGAATAACGCTAACTGTAGATTAATCTTAGACGTTAAAACCACAAGATAAACAAAAAAAAAAACGGGAGATTTGTTTAATTTGTTTCCAAAATGGTGTGTACCACTTAACACAGATAATTATATCATGAAATGTGTAAACTTACAAAAGCAAATGTAGTGCCACTTAAGAAGGGTGGGCGGTTAATTGGGCCTGTGAGAGTACAACATAACCGATGGTAAGCAGGATCACGTAGAATGGAGAGTTGATAATATAATAACAAAATTTCGTTCATCTCGCTGTGTTACGTGACAGATCTCAGATTTATCAATACGATCCAGAAACAAAGCGCCAGTCGATTGTTTTGCTGTTTTTTAATGAAGCAGCGCCTACTTAAATGGGGAGGGGGATTATTGCCGTAGTTACCACGGCAGGCGGGTTGGTAGACGCAGTTATTTATTTTTAGTTGTTATTAGGAAGATGCTGCTGCCCAACTCCTGCTTTCTTTCCCTCTCTCGCCTCTCACCCTCAGGACCATTTGGGGTACTGGATATTCTTACACCGCCTCTACACGGGTGAAGACTGCTTCCAGTAGAATTAAATTGACCCAAGCATAATAGCGAGACTGCGGCGTAAGAGAACATATTGCCCATATCATACCACGACTGTCGTATTAAGAGGTGACAAAGGGAAGTAGGAAATGGGCAGCAGCATCTTTTTTTATAGAATAAGGGTGACAAACGAGCACACAGTTCACCTGATGGTAAGTAGATGTTCTGGCTCGTAGATATTCACATTTATCATCGATTAAGAATCTAAATGCAAATACGTTGTTACCCCTGAGTACTAAGAATGCCTGGTGTCCAGTAAAAAGTGTATACCGTGGTAGAGCCATGCTGCAGCTATATTAGTAGTATAGGTTCAGCTCGACAGGGGAATGACCACGCACTCATAGAATACCTGCGTAAAATAGCAGCTTAACACTGCTGTGTGTTAAGGATTATGGGGATAATTAAAGATATAATACTTTGAACATAAAACGTGCTTTTTATTAACCTCAAAACAACAACATGGAGAGCCTATAACATCATATTGAACCTTCCTTCATAACAGACACAGTGTTGACAACCGACGCAGTGTTGCCATTAAAATTCAATATTATATAAATCATTGTTAATTAACACTGTGTTTCGTATGGTGAGTGTAGAGAACCGGAGAACCTTTTTACTGGAAAAGAGGCATTCCATCTTAGTCCTCACGGGTGACAACGCATCTGCATTTTGATTCTTTATTGAGGATAAATGTAGATGTCTATGGGTCACAGCAACCATTTACTATCAGGTGGATTGTGTGTTCGTTTGTCACCCTATACTATAAAAAAGGGGTCTCAGTTTCTTTACACTCGCCATACGAAACAGCAGTCTTAAGCGTCTATTTTACGCTGGTATTCTGTGAGATGTTGGCCCTACCCCGGTCGAGCCGACCAATTCGCTACTGATTGACTCGCCTCCTGATAACAGCTCAAAAATAAAATAATAATAATTTAAAATTAAAAATTTTGTACAACCGACTTTAATTTAAATTATTAAGAGTAACTCAAAAACTATTGGTCAGACCTTGATCCAGCTTTCAAATAAAAAAAGAATCATAGAAATCGGTTAACCCAGAAAAAAGTTATGAGGTAACACACATAAAAAAAAGAAAAACATACAGTCGAATTGAGTAAGCACCTCTTCCTTTTTGAAGTCGGTAAAAAACTGCGGTTGCCAACGCGCCGGTCAAGCATGTCAACTACGGCAAATATCTCCCCATGAAGCAATCAGCAGTGGACATTTTATAGGTTGTAATTGATAAATGAATCACCAAAATCATATCAAGATATTGCAATGGCTGTTTAGAAAATATTTTACTGCCATTCCGATATCACAACAGACACAGGAGGAAAATTTTACAACAAAGTCGTAAAATTTTCCTCTGTTGTAAATGTAAATGTTTGTATAAAGAATTAATATAATTCTTTATTCGTAAAAAAATCATTATGATCATTACAGTCCTTAGGCCGTGTAGTGGCGGTGTAAGAATAGCCACCACCCCATATCGTCCCGTGGGTGTCGTAAGAGGCGACAGAGGGATATAGGTGAAGGACAGCAGCATCTTCCTGATAACAACTCTAAATAATAAAAAAAACTGTGGTTGCCAACCCGCCCGACAAGCGTGGCAACTGTGGCAAAATCCCCCTATGAGGCAGTTTATAGGGGAGGCCTATGTTCAGCAGTGGAATTTTGTAGGCTGTAATGAATGGATGGATTACAGCACTTCACAAGTCCACTGCTAAATATAGGCCTCCCCTAAGGAATGCCACAAGCACGTTCCTGAGCAACTTCCTGCATCGGTTGTCGGTTCTTCTAGCTATATGACCAGCCCATTGTCACCTTAACTTAGATACTTTTTGCTTTCGTTATTCTATTAAGTAGAGTAACTGAACATTGTTCACTTCATAGCTCGCTGATGCACTGATTGTACAGTCTTGTTTTTAGTATTTGAGAAAAACGTGACGAAAGATATGTAGTAATCTTCTGAACACTGGAGATCCGAGTTGGATTCGTCCATGAAGAGATCGCTAGTCGCTATCATGATATGTCAAATTTTTTAATTATACAACGTAAGGAACTTTTAGAGTTTCGCTTTCTTTTCAGTATAGAGATATTTTTCCGAATCAGTGGTACTTACAGCTAATTACGTAATAATTTAAGACAGAAGGAACCTTAAGTAGGGACTGAATAAATTAACCGACTTGGAATTTGGAGTTGCGAGACTTGGCTTTTTTTTACAAGTTATGTTTTTGGTGGCATCTCATTTCTTTTTGTAGATAGTTATATCTAGGTACATATCTACACCTATTAATCCATTATATTATACATATATAGGTACACTGATTCATTCACTGCAAATGTAACTTTGTAATCCTACATATTTATGTGAGATTACAAAGTCATTTATGCAGTTGGTGTATCTCGAAAACTGGACCGAAATTTCAAAATATTTTAATTTTTCCTTGATTTTTATATTAAACAATAATTGTATTCCAAATTTGAAGCTTCTATGTCTGCTAGAAGTGCGTTAGAGTTTTGATGATCGGTCAGTCAGTGAGTGACAAAATTAAGAAACTTTGACTAGTTATAATTCTTAAACTACTGGTTCAAATTTAATGAAATTTGAAATATACCGAGTTTATACAATGCCTACTTGGTTACCGGTAAAATTCAGGCTTCTAGTTTTATCCACAACGAAGTTATAGCGTTTCGAAAATGACCTGAACTGCTTCGAGAAAAGGATGGTACGGCCGTGCCGCTTTTCTGCTCGACTTGGCGGAGGCACTGCCGTGCCCCCAGATTAAGTAATTATTATTTATGTAATATTTCTTCTTTATGAATGCTTTCAGTGTATAGTTTTTATATTAGATTGTTTGGTGGGATATTTGAAATAAAACCATAATATTAAAGCATCAACTTCTATTGTTAATACATTTTTACAAATGGCGTTACTGAACACTTAAATCTAATATGCATTGACTTCCGATTATAATTCCTAATGAATAAATATTACCCTTTATTTTATCTGCACTTTAAGTACAGAACAAATTACAATAATTGATACCAATCTTCCAATACCGATACCTTTGCTTGGATTACTCATCATATTTGTTACATTACAGTTTTATTTATGGCACTTATACATGACGAACATTTTACAAACCATCCCTAAAAGTTCCTGTTGATGGATGGATTCTGTTTATGGAAGCAGGTATTCTAGTTTGTACTCAACTTTTTCACTGGAAAAATATTGTAATGGCACAAAAGAGGGTGCTTATGTGGGGAGGGTGGTAGTTGTAGTTTAATATCTAGGGAATAATGTGATACTTATGAAGTGATTATTAGTAATTATACTATTTAGGCTGGGTTCTATATGTCTACAAATACTGTATAATAGGCACTAAATTATATCTGGAAGGGATTGTTTTAGGCCACCATTTTATGTTGAAGTATTAATTCTTATTGTCGCATTACTTTTAAAGTGAGCTACAAACTAAGAATGATATAGATTACTCAGTATAAATTGATTCACAAATACCTCGTTACATAATTACTACAATGATAGTTTCAATGATAAGTTAGTAAGACTAAATAATTCCATTAGGGAGATACAATAGTTATTTAAAGGACAATTACATAATATGTTGACAGACAGTACAAAATCTCAAATGAGTACAAGTTTCAACTTAATATAAAAATGTATTTAATGTTATGAAGTTACGAGCAATTCATACTAGCTTATGTTGTATATTATTACTACTATTGTACATTTTAAACAAAATTAATACATAATATGATAGATACTATACAAGTCCAAAATCTGTGCATACTGCTGCAACATCGCGATTATTCTGTTTTTCAGAATTATTAGCAGCCATATTTAATTCTACCAATGTATCAACGCTGTTTATACTGACCCCTTTAAGTATTTTCTGGGCGGCTAAACTAGTAAAATTAAAGCTTAGGTCGCTTAAACTCGGAAAATTATAAAAATCGTGGTTCTCTTTCTTTACATCCTGACTTAGGCTGTACCTTTTCTGCTTGTTGTCTAAGCAGCTGATTTTTTCCGTTGACGTGTTGATATCTTTCAGCGGTTCTTGATTCTTCAATGCAAGATTAGGCTCAGAGCCCAACACCGTAGGCTTCTGTTCGATGCCTTTCGTTAATAAGTTTGCGATTGACTCTGTACTCATTCTATTATTTACGCTCGGTAGACCGTTCAACATTTGCAGTGCCGCTGCCTTTTTTAATAAATCGACGCTTTTTAGTTCGCTATTCGAATTAATATTCGTTTGAAGTCCGCTGTTGGCTGACGTGAAGGAGTTCTTTTGGTATCTAAGGCTACCTAAAGATCCAATTATGTTATCATAGCTTTTAGTAGGCGTTGATGGATTACTGTTAGCGGTGCCGTCTAAATTATGAATATTATTATGTATAGCTGGAGACGCGGGGTTTGACGCGACGTCATTAGTATTATTTAATTGATTTTTGTATACAAAACTATTGTTATTATTGGTCGCACCTATCTGTAGAGATAGTTTTCGATTGTTGTTCATACCCGTGTCGTTAATCGAATTTTTAATGAATTTGTTCTCTTGCACTTTCGTTTCTTGCTCTTGGTTTGTTTGCTTGTTTTTTTCGACGCACACATCAAAGGAAGTTTCAGTGGGATTTTTTACCCCTTGATTCGATCCATTTTTAGATACAGAGACAACTTGTCGGTCGTCATTGAAAATGTAAATATTACTGCCGTTGGTAGTTTCGGTAACTTTTCCATTTTCGAATGTGATCACGGATCTGACCGGAGAATTTTGTACATATACTTTGGTGTTGGTACCACCGTTCTGGGATAAAGTGTTAGTGGTGACTTTTAATGTGATGGAATTATTGGAATTGGAGCTAGCGAGAACTGACGTCGCAGGGTTTTCAACTTTGGAGCCTAATGTTTTGTTATGCAACGGTGTGGTTTTCTTGGGTGTGTTTGGACAGGTTTTCGGCGACGTATTACCGTTTTTTACCGTCTCACCGCCGACTATCGGCGGTTTGGTTCTGTATTTGTGAAGACTTTTTGGGGAACTTTGTAAACTTTGAACTTTCACGAGTGATTGTGCTCTACTTAAACCAGTTGCCCCACTGCTGTGACTAGGCGAAGGTTTCAAAGTGCGGTCCGAAATATGTGACTCCAAGCTTGAATGGCCACTACTGCCGCTCGTGTGGTAGCCTCTTTTCATCGGGGAATTATCGGATGGATTTTTTTCTTTTCGAGGAGTCCGATAGGTGTTGCTTTCTAAGCTTGATGGGCCACTAGTAGAGGTGACGTGATCAGAATAGTCTACTCGTCTAAGACTACCACTAGGACTATCTCGTAGTTTGTCATTTGTTCTTTGAGGGGATCCGTAGTGGTCTAGAATGGTTTTGTTTGTGGAACTTCTGCTTAGTGTCGATCGCGGTAGACTGCCAGAACTGGGGCTAGAGTGTCTTCCTGGCGAGTGGTCGTAATGAACGGAACCTGCTAGGCCTGATTCGGTAGAAAGATGTCGCTTGTGTCTTCTGGGAAGCGTTGACGATCGATTGCTTATTTCCGATCCATCATAGTATGATGACACGTATGACGTTTGACTCTGCAGGGACTCCTGAAAATAAAAGAGTATTTTAATTATTTTGACTGGTAATAACTAATTAAGCTAATAACATAATTATGAACCCTTATGGATCATGGGGGCGTCAACAGAATTCTTAACGTAATTAGCAAGAAACACAAGTGTGCTTTTTTGAGGTACTGGGTGCATGTTCATGTTCTTGTATCCAGTTCTTCGGACAGGCATCCCAGATGTATGAAGTAATGTTTATTTAATTAATTATCTACTTTTACTAACATAGATTTTCAGAATTTATATGAGTAATATAAAGAATTAGAATAGTAGAATTATAAAATCTTATGTCTGCAGTTGGTGGTTGACTTAAGCCAATATATCCAACGAGCGCGTGCAGTGTTGATGATATGTCCTCGGTTGGGATTTTTTTTATAGGATAGGGTGACAAACGAGCACACAGTCCACCTGATGGTAAGTGGTTGCTGTGACCCATAGATATCTACCTTTATCCCCAATAAAATAGCAAAATGCAAATACGTAGTTACCCGTGAGGACTAAGATGAAATTCCTCTTTTCCAGTAACATATGTCTCCGGTTCTCTACACTCACCATACAAACACAGCAGTGTCAAGCTGCCATTTTACGCTGGTATTCTGTGAGAGTGTGGTCCTTCCTCGATCGAGCCGACCCATTCGTGCTACAACTATACTACTAATATGCAGCTATATGACTCTACCACGTAACAAACACACAAACATGTGTCAAAAAAGATGCTTCAAATTACTAACTCTTACTCTCTACTCCTTTTCAGCCTTGGAGTTCATCTGGGTAGGTACCACCTTATCTATTTCTGTTGCCAAATAGCATTGCTTGCATTGCTGTAGGTCCGTAGAACATTGAAAGCCAGTATAATATAGGCTGTGAGGCATAGGTGCATACACCTTTGTAGCCTTGATTGTGGTTGGCTGCAGGTGGCCATGGACAGCAGTAGCCACTTACTTGGTGGACTATGTGTACGTTTGTCATCTCAGTATAAAAAAAAACATGTTTTTCACGCCGCCATTATTTTTACAACTAAATCTCGATGAACGCATGTTTTACCGCACTAAATTGGACGTTTTACGCAAAAAGGATCTAACCGACAAAAGGCTATTTTTGAAATACTGTCGCTTGAAGAAGTTTCCTGGGGTGTTGGTAACTTTTTTTTAAATAAATAAGTCATCTTTCTCTTTATTGACTGACATTTTCTTGGATTTTTTTATGAGAGAATAGATATAAATCCTTACTTTTGAATACATAAATCATTTATGAGCCGACTGTGAGTTATATACTTTTTGGGTAGATACGTCCAATTATCGTGGCGTGTCGATCACACAACGACAGCAAAATTACACAATACCTTGGAGTTGGTCTGCGTGGCGACACAGTGCAGATGCACAGCCTTCGAGTTGAACCACTCTGTGGGCGGGAACTGCGCGGAGAAGGTGCTCATCGCGCGCGTCTGCTTGCTGCGGCCGCTTCGTCTGAATAAGCGGGACAGCAACGACACTTTCTCTGGAAATTAAAATGAAATAATTGACACAAAATCTACAGGGTATTTTTTTCATTCGTTCTTTTAACATAACCCTTTGGAGGTTTCGTCATAGAGTATATTTGCTATGCCACACTTTTCAGGGGTGTTGGTAACCGCGTTTCTTGTACTGTTAATGGAGCTGTTTTCAGGAAGATGCTGCAGCCCAAGGGTTAACGGGTAGTGGATTCTCTTACGCCTTCACTACACGGCATATAATTGTGTTGTAGTGGGGAATTTGTCTACTTTTTGTCTAAATGCCGAATTCATGTGCAAGCGGTGCACTCTGCTGAAAGACGACGAGCTCATATCAATCGGCTGATGGAGGGAAATCCATCCACTAAACACAAATTTTCACAGATTGGGATTGGGGAGCAGTACATATAACCTGTGCAAGGATGTCACTGAGCGCTTACTAATCCGTTTGCGAAGTCTCTTAAATATGGGCAACCCTTTCATTTCACCTTAAAAGTCTGGCAACAACTTTAACCAAACAACGTTCTTTGTTATTCTAACTGAATCCTATTTTGCGCTTACCTAGCATAGTGAATGAAACACAGGATTATAGTTCACGAGTGTGTGTACAAGCTGCACTTATGCTTTGGTCCAAGCCGGGAACCCGGTACCACATGTCACCAGTCACGTTATTTTGCAATAACCCGGCAAATTTGCAGAGAAGGTTCAGAATAGGTAGTATAGGCAAATGGTGGAGAAAACTTAATTTAAAAGAAATCTCAAACATTCTGCTCTTTTTATCTTTTAAATCCAAAATGCGTGGATTTTTAACTGGTTTTTCTGAGCATGCATACAATCGTAAAGGTCGATCAGTAGGCAAAAACATTATTTTGCCCATAAATCACATTCAATTTGGGATAATTTCAAATAAAAGTAGAAGCCTCATTTACTAGTATTTTGAAAAAAAAAATGCAATAACGGTTTATTATTATTAATATATTTGAATTTAGATTTAAAATTTGGCTACTCTTTGAAAAATTACCCTATATAAAGCAAGGATTTTGTTACTCCACAACCAGGCGGCGATATTACAACCAACTTTACCTATTTAGTATCTACTAGGCGTAAATAAACTTAATAAATTCAATTTTTTTTATAAGATAAGGATGACAAACGAGCACACAGGTTGCTTCGGCCCATAGACATCTACATCTATCCTCGATTACAAATCAAAATGCAGATGCGTCGTCACCCGTGAGGATTAAGATGGAATGCCTTGTTTCCAGTAAAAAAGTTCTCCCGTTCTATACACTCACCATACGAAATACAGCAGCGTTAAGCTGCTATTTTAAGCTTGTATTCTGTGAGAGCGTGGTCCTTCCCCGGTCGAGCCGACCCATTCGTGCTACAACTATACTATTAATATAGCTACAGCATGGCTCTACCACATAAAAAAATTTTCAAAAATATCTCAAGTCAATCTTTCGCGATTGGCAGCTGCATCAAAGGTGCGAGACGTGACCACATCCGTGTCCAGGGGAGAAGCCTATATCCAGTAGTAAATATTTACGAACCCATAAAGAAGAAGGATATCTTTAGGAATAATATGCGTTAGTTTGCATGAAAGTATTAAAAAGAAATTACTTGGAGACGCAGATTCGACGCTGGGCGGATAGTCCGTGGACGAGGAGCTATCGGTTGTGTTAGTATTCTTGTGGTGCAGGCTCCTAGTGGATGCGCATCGTTGAAGGTACTTGCTGGAGGAGCCGAATATCCTCAGGGAGTGACGGCGGTCCAGGGAACGTGGAGCTGGGAACGATGCGCTGCGACGTTTGTTCGGACGTCCATACAGGATTTTGTCGTTTGGGTTGCCTGCAAGAAAAAATTATATAATGTTACCACACCTTTTCCTATTCAGTCGAAAATCTGCAGTATTGCGGCTTATGCGGTTACAAAGGCCATATATTATGATGGATATGTGTTAAACTAAAATAACTAAACACTACTACTACTACTAAACTAACATACTGTTATAATTTTATCTCTTAAAGTCAATAAAATTAATTACCGAATAACACATCAAGTTCATTGGTACCTACGCTATTTGTGGTTCCTTTCTAATAATAATATAAAATAATAGATAGTTTTTGGTCATATTTTGGGACAATTTTGTTTAATATTTTGGTACAGTAATCAAAAGCATCATCAAACAACTAAACCAAATAAAATAAACATATTTTAAAAGGTTATTAAAAAATAATATTTATTGCACACGCGTTGTGTGAAGTGATGTGACACTGTATTATCTATGGTGACAGAGAAGTACGTATGTATGTAATATATTACTCTATTTTAAGGAGATGAAATTATAAGCGTAATGAAGATTAAATTTTATATTTTTATTGTTTATATCTTTAATATTTATATGTCTATTTATAATTTCTAAAATAAATGCAGCTTAATTTAATTAATATTTTACTTGGTATTTTAATTTTAGAATAGAACAAGAAAGATGAAATAATGCATTTTAGACCATTACAAGGAGTCGTTCAAGTTATTTGTTCCCATTGGAGTTTGATTTATTTCAAATGCAATAATCTTAATTTGAATGCGTGGCCTTTGACATTTAAAGAAATTATGACAAATGAACATATTTAAATATAATCATATTACTCGTATATTTAAATATAATCGGAAATTAGTATATTTTATACAAATACTATAACGTTTTAAACCTTGTTAATAATCTATGACTTTACAGACAAAGATTATCTATACACATTTAAGTAAATTTCAGATGTCTGTCTGTAATATCAAAAAATAACCTTTTATCGGGGTCAGGGGGTTCATTTGCATGTCAATCAGACATGAATAAGCATCTGAAATTTTTTTGTCTGTCTGTCTGTCTATCTGTCCTGATTTATCTTAGAAATGGCTGTACCGAATTTGATGTAACTTCACGAGAAATCCTATGCGAAAAAGTTGGATTTTTTTGTAAAATGGAAAAATTGATAAAATTAATGGTCATTGATGATCATTTAAAAAAATCTAAATGACGCTTACTTTAAAAGATCCCACTCAGGTTAAGCCAGGGCGGGTCGCTAGTCTATATTAGATATATATTATATGATGAATTCTTTAATAGTTTTATTTCAAGTATGAAGCGCAGTATAAACAATACGCACTACTGTAGCGAAGCCAAGTTCGAATAGCAACATATTAAATAATCGGGGATAAACTTTCGCTTAAAAATGATTACATATCTTCTAATATATTATAGCACTTGAGGAAATCGAGTTCGAGACCCGCCGGCTACAATCAATTATATTTGAAATTGAAAATCCGCGGAATTCGGGGCATATATAGAGGTTGATGCTTTTCCAAGATTTTTTAAAAGACATATCGCTTAAATCTTTATATATAAAAACAACATGTCACGTTGTTTGTCCGCGATGGACTCCTAAACTACTGAATTGATTTCAATGAAATTTTGCACACTGTGTGCATTTTGGTCCAACTTGAGAGATAGGACAGTTATTATCCCGATAAATGACCCTCAAAAATTTTTATTGCTAATTTAAGGATTTTTATAGGAAGGGTCGTTGGAAAGGGCAGAACAACGTCTGCCTGGCCAGCTAGTATTTCTATAAAATTTTATCAACCCTTATATTTTTCCAATCTCTATTTAAATTGAATGCTCATCAAAAGATTCAAAATAAGGAAACCAGACACTAAACAAAAACTGCACGACCTGCGAGAGGAAATACAAAAAGTATCGCTGATAAAGTAACCACCACACCAAGCAGCATTCCTCTCCTTCTGCAGCGGTTGATAGATAACATTTGAATCAAAAGAAATGGATACATGGCATTTGTGGACGCATCCGTCTCTGTAAGAACGCGTTCACAACAACTTACTTTAATTCTACACCATATAGTTGAGTAATTTTACAAGAAATTAAAAAAAATTTAAAAAAATCTTCTGTAAAAAAACATGATCCTACTTCAAAAATTTGAAATGTATATAATGTGATTGTGGAAGTATGCTCGATGGATAAAAAAAGCGGTGGACCTGTACCTAAATTTAGTGTTATATAAATTTAAAAAAAATATACAAAATCGTTTTGAATATGAAATCATATCAGTAGCTATTAATTAGTACCTACTTACTTATTGGTTTGTGTATATTGCGTTAGAAAATTCAGTCCTAAAGGATATATTGCAAAAATTTCGTCATTTTCCACATAGGGCGAAAAAATAATTTTAAAATTACCAAGCCTAAAATATCAAAATATGTGTATAAAATAGTTGAGTTCTGTTAGGCTTTAGACAAAAAGGATAGAAAGTATTCCTTGTTACTAAATTAAACGACATTTCAATTACCATCGTGGTATTTTATTCTTATTTAAAGAAAAAAAAATAAGGATTTTCGAAAAAAATGTATAACTGGAATGTTAACGCGTCTCAACAGACCAAAACATGCAATCGTTGACGCATAAAGAACGCATCGAACGCAGATGCACCCATAAATCAGCTGTGAACTTGGCAACCGATCCGATTTACTGAACTCAAATGTTTTTGCACGTTGTCCTTTTTGAGAGTGCGAGCAATGAGGCGAGTTAGCACAGTGTTATTTGTTTTGGGCTTGTTAAGCGGTTGAGTCAGACAATTGAAATAGCTCGTGACGTCTGAACGAGGCATAAAGATGGCAATCAGTAAAGTCTATTGCTATCATCAAGTTTGCTGACGTTATGAATGCGTCGTCTGGTTTGTTTATGTTGTGGGGACTGCGCGCAAAGTATGTAAGATATATAGTAAATGCGTTTATTTGACAGCTTATTCTGATGAATCTGCGCAATTCGTAGACATTACAATCTTTAGACTACACAAACTGGTGGTGAATTACCTATTTGTTAAATATAAATAGCTGTTAAATATATTAGATATTGAGTACTTATATTGAAACATTTGGAAAAAATAATAAAAAAGCAATAAACAGTTCTAATGCCATATAAATTGTTAATGTAATAATATTTTTATTATATGTAATACTATATGACCCTGTAGATTGTCTCATAAGGGGGATACTTGACATAGTTGACACGCTTGGCAAGTGAGTTGGTAACGACTGAAGATGCTGCTGCCCATTTACTTTTTGGTTCCACTCTGTCACCTTTTATAATACTAACGGTACGATGTAGGGTAGTGGATATTCTTACACCGCCACTACACGATTATTAAATGACAAACTAGTTTGTAATTCGCCAACTAACCAAACAAAGAAGGCAACAGTAACAGGGAGTGTTTTGTCACATTTGAGGACTAAAATAGAATATGTTGCTAATTGATAGTAGCAATAGGTGGGGGCTTATTGCCTAACAAACGAACTCCTAGACAGGAATGGTTACACACAACCTAGTAAAATATTTGAGACTCATCGGTATAGGGGTCTCATTATATATACTATATCTACTGGTGTATAAACAATGTAAGATTACAGTATTACGTGGTAGAGGCACCGCAGCTATATATATTATGGTTGTACCACGGATGGGTCAACTCGACCGGTGTAGGACTACGCTATAACAGAATACCAGTGTAAAAGCAGCTTAATTCTGCTGTGTTTCGTATGGTGAGCGTAGAGAACCGGAGACCCTTTTTACTGGAAACGAGGCATTCCATCTTAGTCTTCATGGGTGGTGACGCATCTGCATTTTGATTTGTAATTGAGGTTACATTTAGATGTCTATGGGTTAAGGCATCGACTTTTCATCAGGTGGACTGTATGCTCGTTAGTCACCCTTATTCTATAAAAAAAGCTATATGAGTCCCACTACTAGGCACAGGTATTCTCTCATTTATAAATCACAATTATATAAATAGCATTAAGTGAAATTATTTGTGATAACATCGAAATACCTATACTGGAACACAACACGTGAACTAAATAACAAAGGTATGAAATATGATTAATGGTTCAGCGAGCTTGGTTTAAATTAACGATGGCGCCTGAAGTCTTCTCAGAATACCGTTCAAAAACAAACAACACGACAATCCAACTCGACGACGTATGCAAATGCAATCTAAACAACTCTATTTCACCGGCGAGCTAAACTGGAGGCAGCGTCACTCCCTCGGCATCTGTCCCCATTAAAATACCTTCCAGTTTGTCCTGCGCTGTTAATCCACATTACAGAAATAGATTGGAATGTTGCACGCCCGATTTTAGCACACCTTCTGTCAGATAACTAGCAGATAAATCTAGTAGGTTGATTAGTGTGACATGCTCACAGTATTGACAGGGGCAAGCGGATACGTGGTGTAGTTTGTAGGTTATATTTGAATTATTTTTCAAGGGCTTGTGACAGTGAAATAGTACAATGAATGTAATACAGACTGTTATATGTTTTTGTATAGCGATGTTTGCATTAAACATGTGAGATTGAAATTAAGATGTATTTTATGTCTCCGGTTCTTGTTAGGCATCGTTATAATCTCTTTACGTAAATATTGTGTGGGAGTGTGGGCCTTCCCTGATCCAGCAAGATACGTGCTCAGCTAGGATTATGAAGCAGCGTGTCTATCACATGATTTGAAATGCCTCTTAACTTTTAAAAGTTTCCCTTATTTGCAATATTAACGCATTAAATTTGCGTTATGTTAGTCCCAACGAATTTCGAAAAAAAAAGCCTTTATAGCAAAATTTTATCTTTACAATACGATATCTTTTCAGCTTTTTAAAACAGTTTGTTGTTGTTATCAGATGGAGCCTCTATTGAGTTTGCCAAAACTCTATTGTTGTAGTTGGTTCAGAGATTGGAAATGACAATATAATGCCGATGCTTCAATTAAGTAGGAAATTAAAAAAGTATT